ACGCTTCTTGGAAGACGGGGCCATGTCTTAATCCCTTTAAGAGCCACACAATGAACATCGTGCAGTCTTACTGAACTGAAAAGGAAGAGACCTGGGGAGGAAGAATTTTAATTGAGTGATACCTCCTCATGCTCACAGAAAAGACCTCTTTCGGCTTATTCTACACTGTTTGTGCCGGTTTAGCAACAAGGGCCGTTGAGCATATTTATTCTACAAGTATTTGGAGACCAGCCATGGGGAAGCTACTATGCACAGACACGATGGCAGAAGATAGACACAAAAAGAATCCAAGTCCTGGATCTGGCCCTGGGGGAGGTCAGGAGGTCAGGAGGTACACTATGGCTCTTGGGTACTTAGTACACATTTACATTGAGTGATACAAAAAAAGGCAATAGACTCACAAACAAAATACCATTACTAATATGTTACCCATTTGGTGGAACTAGGAGTCTGCTGTATCTTTCGGATTGGTTTCAAAAGGCATTTTTGAGGCTACAAGAAAGCCCCATGGGTTTACTCAAGGTTTCATCTAGTTCTTAGATGTCTCTAAGATATCTCTAAGTTCAATTAATCAACATGAAAATAGTGCTTACATTTTTGGTGGGGTTTTTGTTTATTCTTAAAACTTCAATGTGAGAGAGAATATTTATTGGTTACCTTCCGTATGTGCCCCGACTGGGCATCGAACCCCCAACCTAGGTATGTGCCCTGACCAGGAATCAAACCCACAACCAACTGAGCCGCACTGGCCGGGGCTGTGCTTAAGTTTTGCTCAAACGTGTCTACAGCCATACCACATGGAACGCGCCCAATCTCGTCTGACCTCAGAAGTGTTGCTGACATGACTACAGAAGCTTCTGGGTGCTGTGTCTTCCAGACTTCAGTCATCTAGGAAGTAAGATGCCACACTACACGCTGAGAGGAGAAGCTGAGCCTCGGTACTTATTACAGGCATGAGTGCCTTTCTGAAGGCAGATTCTCCTGGGTGTGGGCAGAATGTGCAAGCTTCGACGCCTCATGCCCACAGTCTTGGCTTAAATGCATTGTTAAACACAGACTGACTCTCAAACAGGTCTTTACCAAACAACTGAGAAACTTTTCCTCATAGAACACAGAGCTGGCCTGACTATACAAGTAGGAAAGTGACAAGGAGTATAACTTATTCTCATTTAGGAAATTTCAGGCAGTTTGCAATCTGATGTAAACGGTTTCATAAAGAAGAGGCAGAAGTCTGCCTTCAGGAACTTTCATTATACATATAAGTCTGTTCCAATTTTGTCACAAAAATATCTGGCCAATATATTTTTATTGCTTCATGGGTTGACACTCAACCACTGAGCACACCAGCTGGGCTACAGTTTGTTTTTATAGTGTTTTTAAATTCAATACTCTCTCACATTCTATGAGATAAATGGCATTCTTGTCCCTAGTTTAGAATGGAGGAAATGAAGACTCAAAGAGGTGAAACAAACTGCCTAAAGTCACATTGCCATGAACAGATTTAAAGAATAACTCAGAGAAAGAACAAAAACTACGCAGAAAGGAAAGAAAGGAGATGATTTCTAGTAGACGACAAAACCAATGGAAGCTCAAGATAGGAAATTAAATAGAATATACTAGTAAGCATGCTAGTTGAAAATGCTCCATTTTTCTTCACAATGAACTGAGAAACTAGAGCTTATCCTTCTCAGTGAACAGTAGAGAGATCAAGTTTAATGCCCAGGGAGGTTGCATGTTAGCAGAAGAAGAATTTGAAATCAGCTTTCTGGGTTCCCAGGCTAGTGCTCCCCCCTCACAAGAATGCCCATGGCACTGCTGGGATTCCACTCAGGCAAAAACAAGCGGTAACTTGAAGAAAGAAAAAAAAAACACCCCCTGGCATCTGTTCACACCTGGGACACTACGGAACTTATGTACTTGCACTCAGTATGTCATTGGCTTCTGGGAATTTTTTCTAGTTGTGCTGATGGATTTGTACTCACTTCCCCCCCTCCTACCCTCCCAAACACACACACACTGTCTGAGAGCCACATGGGGCCTGGAGAAGGTGACTAAGTCATGTGGGCTCAGGCCAGCAAAGCCATTGTTGTTCCTTGATAGTTATGTAAGGGAGGCAGCCATGGAGGCCGCCACTGAGACAGCCCTGCAATTAAGACCCAGCCACTTATCTGTACAGAGGGCAGTTGGCTGCCAGCCTCCTGCTGCACTGCTTTCGAGCATCTGTCTCAGCCCTACAACTAAGTCTGTGATCTTCTACAAAACCCCAGGCAATGACGGGGCACAATGGGAGTGCTGGGACCCGGCCACTTTGTCACCACCTGGGACTCCTCTGATGGGCATCCTTTGTCCCACAGCTCTCCGTGGGATTGGCCAAGACTTTGTCAGATTTTCTGCATCCTGGTCTGAGGCTGTCCCTATCCGATCCTGCCTCCTCACCCTTTTATCTTTCAAAGGCATTAACCTCTCCCAATAAACCTAATACCATCTCGGTCTCTTTCCAGGAGGACCCACTGACACAGTAAAGAAAATACCTCACATATTCATACAGTGGTCCTCATCACCATATGATAAACTGACTTTAAGAAATATATTGCTGGGCTCTGCAATGACACCTAATGCATGAATGAATTAGTTTTGAACTGTGCACTGAGTCAAAGGCGGCATCTTTTGTAAAAAAAATATTTTTTTATTGATTTAAGAGAGGAAGGGAGAGGGAGAGAGATAGAAACATCAATGATGAGGAAGACTCATTTATCAGCTGCCTCCTGCATACCTCCCACTGAGGATTGAGCCCGACACCCCGGCATGTGCCCTGACCAGGAATCGAACCATGACCTCCTGGTTCATAGCCCAATGCTCAACCACTGAGTCATGCCGGCGGGCAAAGGCAGCATCTTTGCCGACCAAAAACCACAGAGATTTTTTATTCTATGTTATCTATTTTGTAATGTGATTCAATGTCTACTGAATATTAAAGAATTATTCTACACAAGCTAATTTTGCTTAGATGAGTTCTCTTTGTCTATCAGTCTGTTAAAATTTTGTAAAATATATGTATTCGTTGGGAAGGAAGAAGAAGAGACTGAAGATCAGAAAAGGTGTCAATGTAAATCGCTTTAACTTTCAGATTTTGTTTACAGTGCTAAAAACGCAATACATTATCACAAACTGTCATTTCATACAATTCCTAATCTATAACGATAAATGGAAGTCAGTTTAAAGCAATGGGTCTCAACCAGGGGCAATTTTGCCTACACAGGAACGTTTGGCAATATCTAGAGACTCTTTTTGTGTCACAAGGGGGCAGGGACAGAGGATGCTACTGGTATCTAGTGGAAAGGGATGCTGCTCATTAACCCACAATGTGTAAGATAACCCCGACACAAAGGGTTATATGGCCCAAAATGTCAATAGTGCCAACCTTGAGAAACTATGGTTTTAGTTATAGAACAGAATGTTTAATGTCCTGATTGTTTTCTTGAAATCTGAAAGTAAAGGAAATATTCTGTCCATAATCCCTTAGTGATTTTTTTGTTGTACTAATCAATATCTTCCCATTTTCTTAGAAAAGGTAATCTAGAACACTAAGCAAAATCAAGGGGTAGAATTCACTTGCCCCTTATATGAGGAAACAGTGTTTTTAAGCATATTATTCAAATAGCTTACGAGATAGAAATGCAGGAAATACATTACAGATCACCAGAGTTCTGTGTCACCAAATTCGTAGGGTTTTTTCCCTCTCAGTCATATTATTACTGTTGGTGAAAATTTTTCAAGTTTAAGCAAACCCTACTCTTAAGCATACATTGCTAATCTTATTGTAAATATGTAACACACATATTGTTTGGTTTTTAAAAAAGAGAACAAGTTTACGGATACAGCCTGGTTAGGTTACGTAAGGCCCAGTATTTAGCAGGCACCCACGTGCATCCTTTAATTTGTGTGGTTATGTACAAAAAAAAACAACAATTGCACTTTTAGCATAATTGATATTTAAATTGGTCATCTGAAAGCCAATACCCTAGTATTGAGTTTATGTATTATCAGTAATAAATCAATGCCTAATTCTCTCACAGTGAAAGAATTTAAGAGGGGGGGAAAAAAACCCAAAAACTTGGGGTGTCATTTGATGGTCAAGATGCGCCCCCTACCGAGCGGAAGGGAGAAATAAGGTTGATTCCGTTTAAATTCACAGGACTCTCAAACTGCTTTTTACACGCGCCTTTCCAGCTCATTTCTTCCTACCCATGTACACCTGTACATTCCTTCCTAGCTCATCTGAAGAGCTGAGCGTAAACTCTAGGTTTTATTTGGCACAAGAAGACTGTGCGGCTGAAACGTGCGCTCCACATTTGAGAGGCTGCACTATTCTGAAGGACAACCCAGAAAATCTCCAAACGATATTTGCAGTATGAAATGACAACTACCACTTATTTCTTAACATTAACCACTGAGCTTGACTTAACACGAATTTTTTTTCCTGTCTCGTCTCTTTGCTTTGATAACACGTGATTCTGTATCCTGGAGAGCAGTCATCTTTTCAGACAGTGCTCACAATCGATCATAGAAGTTTAAGTTCTCAAAGGTGACAGCAAATGGCCAGCGGACAAAAATAATTTGGATTCATTCACCCGGACGGAGGAGACTACGCGTAAGGAAAGTTCCTTCACCCCCGGCCTCGCCCTCCTGCCCCGGGACCCCATTGCTCCTTACACCCCCCTACTTCGCAGATGCCAGCTGATGCCGATCTGGCTGCGCCCGCCCCAGGGCGTCACTCACCTAAAGCATGTATCTTCGCAGCTCCACTGAATGCATGTGCGTGTGCGTGTGCGCGCGCGTGTGTGTGCGTGTGCATGAGTGTGTGCGTGTGTGTGCATGTGCGTGTGCATGAGTGTGTGCGTGTGTGTGTGTCAGCATGAGCCCCTTGGGTCTCGCTCTGGGTCTCCCCGAGTCCAGCCGGAGGCTCGGGGAAGCAGGTGCCGCGGGTCCCTGGCTCTTACCTGGGCTCCAGCGAGGA